TTTTCTTTGTCTAACCAAGTCAAACATAGTTTTTTTCCAATTTTAACACTTAAAAATATAAATATACTAACAAGACCTAGTATAGCAAAACTTGCAAGAGCATGTTATGTGATTTTGCTTTTTTACTCTATTCCTGCTTTTGCTTTCTGTTATCCTTCTTACTTTCTATGTTGTTGCAGTATTTTACCCCTTACATCATTATTATGTGTTTGCAAAAGGCTTTTGAAAGCACATATAATTTCAGTCCAACTGAAGATCCACAGTAAGAATTAAGGCACAGTTTGAGAGAACCACTGTAGTAGAATAATACCTTGATGGGTATGTTACCTGACTAGAACTGACAAGGATCTAAGCCTTGATTACAACTGGAGTACTTGTATCTTCCAACCTCACTTTAAAACCCTTTTCCCACTAAAATCTGCCAGAAATTAACATACTGCAGGAGTAATATAAAGACAGAATGGACTGAAAGTGTAAGTGAACTGTAGAACTAGTGTAATGTTCTGAAACACTCCCTTTCCTTCCTTCTCTGTAAACATGGGATCTTGCCTGGCAGGTCCGATACACTTCCATTACAACTAATGATAACGAACCAGCAGTGATTACTCTGCAAATTGTGTTCCAAAACCAACTCATCGACACAGCTAGGCTTATAGGAGAGTCAATTTAAAGACCAATCATCATTTTTTAATTAGATATTAGAAGCTTATAATAGTTTTAATCATGTAGGAACATTATTTCCTATAAGTTTTCATACAGCATATCCTGATGAGTCAGTTCTTAAAAAAACCCCACCTAATGTATAGCCATAGATATTTTCAAAATTCAAAATATTAATTAAAATATAAAAATTAAAATATATTTAAAATATTAATTAAATATAAATGATTAATTAAATATATTCTAAATTAATTAAATATATTACAATAAAAAACCAAATGTTAATATTTTATGGTCTGTTTATTCCCAGCCAGTCTTTTAGGTTCTAGAGAAAAACATGTTATCAAAAGTCAAGCAAGAAACCAGAACATTTTGGCATCAGTATAGGCTACATTTTAAAAGGTAACATAGTATTTAATATTCTACATAAAAAAAGGAGAGATTTTCAACAGACACTAAATAGAAAAAAGGAAGGGATTGAGGTGTCCAAGAAGGATATTTCATTTTAAAGAGTGATAATAACTCATTCTGAGTTACTATAATTTATTCCTTGCTTGCTATAAATTGACAACAAACTACTGAGGCTAGTCAGGGAGCCTGCCTGCCTGCCTGGCTCATTCAGTATTTGCCAGTGCTCAGCCAAAATCACTGAGGGGTGAGACTACAAGCATAGACCTGAGATCCCCCTCATCTCTCTCCTCCTAAGCTCAGGAGATGCAAATAGCAACACACAGAGGAGAGTCAAAACTTACAACTCAAGACACGCTGTCCTTGCGCTCTCAGAGACCTCCACATTAACACATTCCTGTTAAAAACACAAAACCCCGTTATGGGACTGGGATTATTTTCAAGATAGTTACCATTTCCTGCAGCCTCGCTGGAAAGGTGAGCAGCTCCCCCAGCACTGCCCGCCCACCCCCTTGATCAGCTGGGAGGGGAAGGGCAGCAGGATTGCCCACACCTGGGCTCAGGACTCAGCCTCCTGGAGCCCAGCCAAGGCGGTGCTGCCCTCCTGTCAAGTTAGCAGTTCTCCCTCTGATTCCTTACACAAAGGCTGGGTGACCAGTTGGCATCCTGCTGGTTTGGACCTGTGGGAAACATGGGCTTCCTGCAGGAAATGAGGGGTGCCTAGGGGAGCCTGCTCAGCAGAGACACAGCTTTCTTGGGGTGGATGAGTTTTCACCATGCTTTACTGACTGTGCTATTTCATTCTGCTCTCAACAGTAGTTGTTGAACAAGTCCCAGTAGACTGAAGACAACAAACACCCTGTTACTGCCTCAGGCCGTGCCTGCTGGGGGTCCAAGCCTTTGGGCAGGGTTAGGCTTCACCCACAGGACAGGGTTTAATCCACAGGAGTGCTGGCAAGACAAAGGACCCAAAGCAGCATCCCAGCAGTGATGCTGCACCATCAGCACTGTGCAGCAAAGATGTGGAGGGCAAAGAATGAACAGTACCCTGCACAGTGACTGAGGGACAGGCTCTGTAGTCACAGACAGCTCTTCCAGGAGCCCAAGGTGGCTGGTCAGGCTCCATCCATGCATACACATGGGCTCTGTGCCCTGCCACTTCCCTGCTGGGACACTCAGGGGGAGATGAGGCTGCTGCAGCCCAGGGCAGTGCTCTCCAGGCCGTAAGACACATGGCAGGCCAGGGTAGAGACCGACTATAGGGGGCTGAATCTCAATCTCCAAGGACTCAGGCTCCACACAGAGGTGGGCTGGGGCTGGGGCAGCAGTGTGAGAGCCTCAAAGCTGTGCTGCAGGCCCTGGGAGCTGGGCTCTGCTCCTCCAGTACTGTGTTTTCCAGTGTCCTCTCACACTGCTACCAGAGAAGACATGGCTGCAAGGGATCCTCACATCTGCCATAAACAAACACCCTGCAGAGATTAATTTTAATGAGTGGCTCAATGTGCGTGGGTTTGGTTTGGAGATAAAGGCACACAGAGTAACAGGAGGGTTTTAAAGTACTCTGGTGTCACATTAACTGACTGGGATATGGCAATGCAAAGGGTGTGAAGAAAAACTCATTTAAGCAGACCGAAACATTCCACCCATCGATGTTACTAAAGCTTGAATTTTCATACTCATTCTCATTCAGCTCAGTGCTGGAACCTGGTCCCAGTTCCTGCTGCCCTGTGTCAGCAAGAAGCCTTCCCTGGCTACTGTTCTGAGTGTTCTGAGCCTGATGTAAAATTTATCTTCCCAGAAGGCATCAGCTACCATTAAATATTCCCTTATTTACCTTTATATATATATATATATATATATAAAAAAAAATAAGTAAATACCCTTACTTGGTAATTACCAAATTACCAATGCTCCAAGCAGTTGAAAATTTTTTCCTGGCCCCACACTCCCATCTTCTTCAGCTGTCGGGAAAGTTGCCTTTCAGGACTTCACAAGCTCCAGGTGTGACTGGCAAGGGACAAGTCAGGAGATCAGAACATATAAAGTGAATTAAGAGGCCATAGTGGCCAGGATTAAAGGTAGCCCTGCCCTTGCTTCATTTAGTTTCTAGTGGATATGAGATTCTGCTCTTTCTTTTATTACTTGTTTAAGCAGTATGAAACCATGCCTACCTAATGCATTGTATTTGTATTACGTAGAGGTGATCAAACTACTGGGAAACCTCATTTTCCTACTAAAAGGCTTCTATTAGGAAGGTTCAAGGAGCTTGAACCTAGCAAGC